TTTTTTTGTTTTTTTACTGGAGACATTTTGCTTCGAGTTATTTCTTAATCAGGAAAGATCGGTGTTAAAAATTTCGGTATGAGGCGCAGCATTTGATGTCTTTAGATACGGCGCACCATACCAGTTCAAATATGATTGTCCGAGGTCCTATCCCACAACTTCTGCAATAAAAATTGTTTGGTCATGTGATATTTCCTGGTCATAACAGTCGCAATTGCCTATTTATTAAATTTAAATTTGAAATAAATGAATTTAGCTGTTTGTTGTATTTTTTTTTTTTATTTTTATTTTTTTAACGACGTAACCTTGTTTTACCACAAATGATATTCGTTTGGGTCATATTTGTTGTATTTTTATATATATATAAAAATTAAATTCATCTGGAAAATTCACGTGTCAAAAGATCTGCAACAAAATTAATTTTTTATTTACGTGTAACTCGTCAATTTCAGGACTAAACGTAGTAAATTCGGTAAACTTGCGCAACTTCGAAGCTCAAATCCTTCACAACGAAATCGTAACTTTGTAGAGGAAGGTCTCGGGCTTCAAAAAAAATTATTTTGGAGTGTTGCATTTCCCATTTTCGGAGGATTTTAAGAATCACATGACCAATAAAAAGTTGCGGAACTAATTTGACTTGCACTATAATAATAATTAAAATTTTTTAAAAAATTATAACAAGATAATGTCATTATAACGTCATTATTTAAAAAAAATTTTTAAATCAATTATCATCAAAAAATTTTTTATCAATTACCATTAAAAATTTTTTAAAAAAAAAAAAAATGGATAATAATAAACGATCTCGTAGAATAAGAGACGAGTCTTCGTCTATAAAAAAATTAAACATGTAAGTATTATTAAAACTGTTGTTTCGTTTAGTTCAAGCTCTAGTTATTATATATATATTATTTTTTTTTAAAAAAAAACTATAATGCCATTTAAATATTTATGAACTAAACTTTACTTTTACATACTTAGAACTTCTTCAAAAGAAGAAAAAGAAAAAGAAGAAAGAGAAAGAGAAAGAGAAAGAGAAAAAGAAAAAAATAAAAAAGAAAAAGGCGAAGATGATGGTAATAAAGACGATGGTGATGATGATGATGGTGATGATGATAAAGGCGATGATAAAGACGATGGTGACGATAGTAGTGATGATGATGAAGATGAAGAAGAAGAAAATGATGATGAAGAAGATGATGATGAAGAAGAAGATGAAGAAGAAGAAGAAGAAGAAGATAATGATGAAGACGACGATGACGATGAAGACGATGATGATGATGAAAAAGAAGAAGATGGTGATGAAGATGATGATGACGATGAAGAAGAAGGAGAAGAAGAGGTTGAATTCACAATAAATTCAATCATACCAACGGACCCAATGCCATACATTATGAATGGCCATTTGACCTTCAGAAGTAGTGAGGTAAATTCCAGGGGACGTTTGACAAGAAGTGGTGTCTATAGAGTAAATAGACATTAAATACCACTTCTTGTCAAACATCCTCAGAATTGGCCTCACTACTTCTGAAGGATACATTGCTTTTAATAAAAAAAAATTTTAATTATATAAATTCAAGCCAACCATTGTTCTTATCAAAAATGTGATGATTCCCGTTCCAGAAACTATTGTGAGGTATACGATCTATAAGATCTTTTACAATTGTTCCACTTTTGAGTATAAAGCGTATAATAATAATAATTAGCAAAAAATAATTAATGAATTAATTAACGGCTAACTTGGACAATTTGTCCGTTACAAATACGTGATTTTAACTTTTCTGTAATCCATTTTAATTCTACATGCCACAATCTGTTTCCCTTTCTTTCCGATCCGATTCCAAATACCACATCACTCCTCCATACCAATTCTTTGCTGTATAAAGAAATCATATCACTTCATGGATTCTTTAAGCAACAATTCTGTAGCTTATCAAATAAAACATCATTATTATCACTGGCAATTTGGGTTAAATTTTCTTGCTTATTCTTATATCTTAGAAGATTATTGATGGGATGAATATGTGGAGCATCCAACTAACTAATTGCGCAATTAATTATTCCACAATTTATTCCTCAAAATTATGACAGTGTTTATTTCTCCCAATTTCAACAATTAATAAAAATTAATTTTGCCCAAAGTGTTTCGGCTATTAAGAGATATAACTTTAGTCTGTACAAATTACAAGTTTATTAAAAAGCTTCTTTTTAGAAGACATTCAGTTGAAACCACGTTTGAAGGATTGAATGTTATGGCAGAAGAAGATCAAGTTTGATAAAACGAGGTTCCAAACTCCAAACCATTCGTGGGCAGATAACCACTTATAAAAAGAAAAATGCTAAAAGAATGTTATCAGAAGTTACTATTCCAACTGAAAGAAGTAGAAAATTGACATAAATAATTTTATATATAAATCATCAAAAAAAAAACCTTTGAACGGTGACTGCTCGTCTACGTATTTTCTTTTTTTCCTATGCTAGATTTTTTTTTCTTGAAATTTAATGTTTACTTACATAGAACCGCCAATAAATACATACAGTGGTCATGATTTTTCAATGATAAACATTAATCTCGTCCATGCTAAAAAACAATCTCTGCATGTATACCGTGCATTAAAAAACACTATATTCTGCAGAAAGAATAGTTACGCGACCATTATATTAGTTATTATTGTTGTTATTTAATTATTATTGTTATTATTATTATCATGATTAAAAAATATTACAAGATAGAAATCCTAAATATACTGCCATTAAAATAAGTCATATTTAAACTTCGTAAAGACTTTTCAGATAAATTTTGTTGATTATTGAATCGTATTTAGAAAAACTTCATTTTACATTATAAGAAGAAATTGGTAACCATATATTGTATATTCAAATGCTATTTGAGATAAAATGGGCAAATTTTTGGCCACATTTGACCAATATTCATCTAATACAACTTCTATAAACACAGATCCAGATCCAAATAAATCGTCCATTCATCTAATAAATTATCAGATGGATTGTTTAATTCTTTAATGATCTTGTATTGTCATATATCTCTTTGTGTTAATCAACAAATTGAATAAATTTTGGATCAAAATTCGACATGTACGAAAAAGAGGACGTCGAGGATGAGTGGGAATATATGCTGCAAACTTAATACCTATTCAATAAACACAGATCCAGATCCAAATAAATCGTCCATTCATCTAATAAATTATCAGATGGATTGTTTAATTCTTTAATGATCTTGTATTGTCATATATCTCTTTGTGTTAATCAACAAATTGAATAAATTTTGGATCAAAATTCGACATGTACGAAAAAGAGGACGTCGAGGATGAGTGGGAATATATGCTGCAAACTTAATACCTATTCATGCCATGATTCATCATGATTGCATATTTTACATGTTTCTTCATTTCATTTTCGATAATAATAATGTGCTACCTACACTATTCATTTCCCTCCCGCCTGGTTTACTCATTTGCTTTTCAAAAATAACACGAAAAAAAAATCTTGAAATTATTCTCCACCGTTTGCCAAATTCCTCCTGCCCAAATAATTCATCAAATACTTCTTGCTGTCCAGAAAGTTCATCAAAATAATTATCCAATGTATTAAAAATTTTTTTGTACGCGTCTTCCAAATTCTTCAAAATATAGTCCTTTTGTTGATTTGTCGGTTTTATGCATTTCAGCTATTTTTTTTAATGTTTCTTCGAGGTTTGATTGATCCTGAAAATCATATGTATTGATATTAGTTTTAAATTCTATACATAAAAAAACCAAACACACTAATTTAATATTGATTCTTTCGTAAAAGATAGAATTTGTTGCTGTTATGGTAGTTGATTGTATAATAACATTACAAAAAATTAAAAAGTCTATTTTTAAAAAGGGTTGAGACCACCATATTCAAACATTGTGATTTACTTGCAGAACTAAATGTTTCATCAAGTAAATCATTATTTTTTAATTCTATAACTTTCAAAGTTATTTTGAGCTTTTGTGATAAATATTTAATCTTCTTTATAAGTTAGTTGAGTGTACAGAAACTATTTTTCACGAAAGGGTT